TAGTACAAGAACCATGGACTTTAATATTAATACACTCATTCAGAATGGAAAATCACTGAGCCAGAAAATTCTGACATCACTGCCCCTCCCTCGCTCACCTTTGGACTGCTTAAAAGCAAAACACATTACTTTTAGGGGAAAGCACTGGAGCCTCAAATGGGTCATGTCCCACCCACCCCACCAAGACCACTCCTAACCCTTCCAGCCTGACCTCCCTCTATCGCTGCCAAGAGTAGGCACTCAGTCAGATTTCCTCTTCCTGTCCCCTGGCTATAACTTAGCTCTCCACTTCCTGGCCTTCCCCACCTCCGTCTCCTCTGCCTGAGCTCCAAGCACCAGTGCAAATGCCATTCCACCCACAGGGAACTTTCTCTGCTCTGATTCCACCAGCCCATTGTTGTCTTGCTTCTTTGGCCCTGAACCCAGATAGCCACGTGCCACTCATACATCCTCGGGTATATACGTCTTCTCTTGGGCCAGAGACCTCCAACTCCTAGTACAGGGCCTTGCACACAGGTGTTCCAAAGCACTTTACCAATTTATTCTTGCACCACATGGAGGGAGAAGAAGAAAGGGAGGCAGAACAGATGGCCTGCAGTGATACTCACAATAGTTGTTCTGGCTATGAAAAAATGGAATGGAGTTTGCATCTACTAGAAAGATCAAGACTAGCTACTCCTTGTTCTTCTCAGCAAAGTCAGGTCTATCTGGGCTTGAAAGGAGTCCTTTATTCTTGTGGGAAGCCACAGGGTTAGGAGAGAAGAACAGACAGAAGGTGGAGGTGAGCTGATGCTGTCATAGATGCTCTTATGGCTGTTGCTTAGTACTGTTCCACTCTAAACTGGAACAACAACAGGACTGAAAATTATTCCACTAGCAACACTATGGTAGATGCACTCTATCTATGCCTTTCTGCAGCTTAATGGACCCAAGTTCCAGTTTGATCCTTAGAGACTTATTTCCATCGCCTCAAAGCCCAGAGGGGAAGAGGACACTTTTTGGGAACCAAGGGAGAGCTAGCACAGGGATGATGTGTCAGGCCAATTCTGGCTGCAGATATTTAAATGGAATCTCTTATTCACTGGTGTCTATCTTTGGTTTCAACCTCTCTGCTTTAGGCAAGGTATTCTTATTTGGGAAAAGACCACCCCCAGAAATGGCAATGGGACAAGGAGTCATGTGGGGAGAGGCTGGCTGGCTCTCCCCCATCTCTCCACTAGCAGGAGTCCCTGTCTCTTTCTCTTTCTCTTCTGTCTCTCCCCCCACCTTCCTCTTTCTCTTTCTCCTCCCAGCCCAGGTATGTCTGTTTCTCTGCTCTCTGTCTTTAAATCTCTCTCCCTTTCTTTCCCATCCTCCACTGTCTGTCTCTGTCTCTCCTCTCTCCCTGTTTCAGGGTGTGTGTATGTGGTCTGTCTTTCCCCTCTCTACGTTAGTACGTGTGTGTCCCTCCTGTCTCTCTTCTGTTCTCCATCGCTATCCGCCTGGCTCTTCTCTTGTGTGGTTTTTCTGTAGGACACCTGGACTGGGAGCCAGAAGACTTAGCTTCCGGTCCTGGCACTACCATCAACTAGCTGTGTGGTTATGGCCAAGTTGCTTTACATCTCTGGGCCTCAATTTTCTTGACCCTATAGTAGGTGAGACTGAATGCTCTTCCAGGTCCCCGGCAATTCTGAGATTTTATCACTGAATGAAATGGAACTCATCAGACTCAGGAGACACCCGAGTACCACTCAAAGAGGATATGACTAAACCGAGACAATGCTGCTGCAGGATCTACTACCTGCTAGGCAGGTGCTGTGCTTGCACCTCCTTCAGTCCAATGAGATAGGTACGTGATGGTTCCTATTTTAGAGGTGAGGAAACTGAAGCACCAGCAGTGAAGCCACTTGCCCAAGGTCCCATGGCTAAGACTTGTCAGAGCAGGATTTAAACTCAGGCCATCTGGCTCCAGAGTCCATGCTCTTATCCGTGATGCTGTATCGCCCTAGCCACCGATGCTCGCTCACAAGCTTCCCACTTAGGCTGCAGAGTAAACATCTCCAGACCCCAAATGTGCTCAAGGGTCTTGGATCCAGACTATATGGTTCAATCAATTCTCTCCTCCTTCAAGACACCAACTCTGACTTTTCACACCTCTGCCTGTAAGTGTCCCATCAACACTCTATTGCCCTGCACACCGCCTGGCAGGCTCGGGTAGCACGGACCTTTCTGTTTTCAAGTGTGTATGTCTTGTTGCCTTTCTACCTAACCAGGCATCTTGCCAGAACCCAGTGCAGTGCTGGGCCCACTGCCCAGACCCATGCTTGCTGAATAGCTGATGAGTACCAGGATACTTTGTAGCACTGATGGTATGTCCCCGACTCCTCTGCCCGGGCTGTTAGGAAATACCTGGGATCTTCAGACTTTCACATCACAATTCCTGCAAACAGACTGCAGCTACTCGCTGGCAGCTACTGAATGGGCTGGGAAGGAGGGTTAGATGGTGTTTAATTCACAGAAGCAGAAACAGGGGGCCTCCAATAATAATTTCAACTCAAGTCAGCAAATATAAAGAGAACCCCAGCTTCATGCCAGACAGCAGCAGCCACGGCTTCTGCTCTCAAGGAGATACTGCAAAAGAAGAGATGAAGCATGCAAAATAAAAAATGATAGATTTATAAAATTCCAATAGCACTTTGACCTTTGAGTTAACATTATTGTTTGCGTGTGTTTGTGTATTTTTAAATAAAATCGTGGGAGCACAGAGCAGGGAAACTGCTTGTCCAGTCTGATTCTGAAAACTAGGAAAGGCTCCCGTAAGCCTGGGAGTCGGGAGACCAGAGTCCGAGTCCATCACTGGAACCACTGCGTGCGTTATATGCAGCGCTCTCTGAAGTGCCAACTCAGACACCGGTCAGGCATCAACGCGCGCTTGGGTGTCAGGAAGCATTTGAAACCCACACCACGTTTCACAGCCCTTGGTTTTCACATTTTTCTTCGTGCATCTGTCCCAGTGTCAGATATTTGGTGAGTGAGAGTTAGCTGGACAATGGGTGAATGACGTCGTGTCCCCAGAAGTCACATTCACACGTCCCGAAAAGAACAATAGAATCAGTCATCCTGGGGAATTCAGTCCTTGTGGAAAATCCAAACCCCTTTACATCCACCTCACAATCTTCTACTTGCTTTTGGTGAGTGCCAACACTGTGATTCATCTTGTAGAGATGAATTGATAGGGCCTCCATTCCAGAAATGCTCTCATTTTTAGAGCGTGATGTAGAACAGCCACCGGTGTAGTTTTCGTTATACTTTTCCCCAGCTTTAGTGTCGATGTCACGATGGCCACAGAAAAGCCTGATAACAGCTGTTCCCAGAGTCCGCGTCTGGATGCTGCCCTCCTGATGGGGAAGCCTTTCGCCCACCCTCCTTGCAGCACCTCTGCCCCTCTCCAGTGCCCGTCCTAGTACAACAGCCATGAAAACAGCAGGGAGACAAAGAGCACACCAAGGAAGCTGCTCAATCCACGGCCCAGAAATCTCCAGAAGTCACTCGAAGTTCACTGAAGTGGTGACACCTTCTGTGTGCCTCTGGAGGCTGCCACCTAACCGTCCCAATCACAGACCAGCCCTGTGCTCTCCTGTGCTCAGAGATGACACGTTGTTCTGAACAATTCCAGACGGCAGGAGCAGACAACTGATGCATTTGCTTCTCCATCCCCAGCAAGCCCCACAAGGGTTTCAGAGCTGGGGCCAGCACATAAGCAGTGCCCATCCCTCCTGAGGCTGAAGTGTCACCTCCGATGACTCATCACTGCCCCAGATGGGGGACAGGGGCTACAAAGGAGTTAGGGCAGCCCAAGAATCGGGGACACTCCTGAAGCCCTGTCTACTCCTGGGACTGACTGCACGGTGGTGACCCCACACCCAGAGGGTATCATGACCCCTGATAGGATGCCCCTCTCTCCTTCCAACCTGTCTCTATCACAGGATACCCAGTACAAGGGCCCCCCAACAACAGCTGTGAGGGGAACCAACACTCCAAAGACATGTCCAGTTGGCTCTCAATTTTCCATGTATATTTCGACAGACTTTTCGATTACATCTGGTCAATACCGCAGGAGGTGTGGAAGGAGAGTGAAATGTTATTTTATTGTATAATCTTGAAATTATGAGGTGGCCACAGAAAGGTCTGAGAACACGAGCGTTCCCACCCCTGCCTCTCACAGTGAACCAGCAGGGAGACGATGCTAAACCTTAACTTCCATCTCCAGCTCCCAACAAGCTCTCCCTCCCCGGCAGCTATCAGTCCTCAAAGAAAAGCTCCCAGGGGTCCCCAAAGAGACAGACAGAGAAGTATGAGGAAAAAAGAATGTGTCATTTCATCCAAAAGCGCATTTGTGGCAAGGCTGTCCTTTCATAGTTAGAAACAACAATTTATTATTTGTGGTAAAGAAAAATGCTATGACTCTTATAATAACGCAAAAAAAAGATTAAGCCAGGAGTAACCTCTAATCACAGAACATACAATCATCAACAGCCCTTGTTTTAAATCTGGTTTCCCAAATCCAAGCTTGCCAAAGAATCCCCTAAAGGCCCTGTACCCCACCACACCCCAACCCTAGCAGGCCACCTGCATCCCTGAGAAGTGGGCACACTGTGGGTCCAGCTCCGACAGCGCTCAGATAACCCCCTAGGACCCGGAGCTGTCCAGAGAGCTCATGCCTGAGGGACTGTCAAGCTTCCCCCAAAGAAAACAATGTCATGACTACAAGGAATTGCTGTCTCTCAGATTGCGCCTCCCTTCACAACACCAGAGGGTGAGAAGGCCTGTCTGTAAAGCTGCTTAAGTGAGAAGCATCAATTAACAAGTCCGGATGGTGTGGAGGGGTGAAGCCGGGGGCTGAACTGCCCTCCTCCCTCCATAAATCAGGCGTTCCCAGGCCTGATCACCTAGGTCAGGGACTTGTGCCACCTGCCTGCCTGCCTGAGACAGATGCCAGGCTCAGGGAAGCAGTCTGTTACCTGCTGGACGTCCTGCTGGAAGACGCAGAGCTGCAGCCGCTGGTGGAGCCGCACCTTGCGGTGCTGCCAGATGCTCTCGAGCCGCCGCTGGTGGTGCAGCACCTCATGCACCACGTCCAGCACCTGGTGCACTGCCTTGGAGTAGTTGGCTGTGGCCGTGAGGGACTCGGAGTTCCCGGGACTCAGGGGACGCTGCAGCACATCCAGCAGCGCTTTGCCATCCTGGCTGACCTGTAAGAGGGAAAGAGGTCAAGTCCAGGGAGTAGAGGGGCAGGAGGGGCACAGGGAGGCAAGGCAAGCCTGCTGGCATCCCTGATGAGGACTGAAAATCTCAGTCCTACCAACACCCATGACAACCAAGGAGTGTGCCACCAGAGCTGCCACAGTGCCCAGCCTGCAGCCCGGGGGGGGCCGAGCACCCCGGAATCCTGAGGGAGAGGAGGTGCTGGGGCTGCAGCCAGTTGTCTGCGAGACCCCGAATCACTGTGTCCCTCCCCCTTGAATTTCAGCTTCCTGAGGGCAGGGACTCTGCCTTGTTTATCTCGTCCCACGCCTGGAAGAGTGCCTGACACTTGGTACTTGGTAAGTATTTACTTGATAAATATTCTGACTGACTCATTGACTAGGTCAGGCAGCAGATCTTCGTTTCAGAAAAGAAGCTGAATATAAGTTGACACCATAAACCTCTCTCCCTCTTCCCTCTTCCGTCCTCACCTTCCTCTACCTAGCTCTAAACTTCTAGGTGTGTGACCAGAGGCAAGTTATTGACACTTAACCCCTTTGGGCCTCAGTTTCCTTGTTTGTGAAGCAGGAATAGAAATGGTACATACCCCATAGCATTGCGGTAAAGACTAAACGAGCTAACACATGCAGGGCACTTAGAAGAGGGCCCAGCAGGTACTGGCTACCAAGTCTACCTTTATCATCAGCAGCAGCATTTTTCTCTCCTTTACTTCCTTGTCATTTTCTTTCTTTTATACTTACCCTTCTTTTGCTCTCCTTCTATACAACCTCCTTTTTTCTTCTGAAAGTGGTATCATCCCTGTCTTTCCAGAACACACAGAATAAGGGAGGGACCCTTAGACTGTGGACACAACGTCCATGCTCCTGGGTTCCCCAACACTCACCCTCAGTGCTGACACCAGTGGGGGGTGACATTCCTTGCCATTCCTCACTGGATTCCTGGCAATATTTCTGGAAAGTAGCATCATCTGATTGACACCTGTGGCTCCAGTGCTTGGCAGATTACCCAGCGAGCACGTGCCTTTCTAATTTAAAGCCATGGTGACTAGGGTATTGATAGGAATTTTAAGACCCCAGATTAATCTGGTTAACAAGGAAGTCAAAGTTGGTTTGGAGTTGAAACGGCCTTTTCCTTCCAGCAAGGTCTGAAAGGAGGTGTGCTTGGTCCGAGTTAAGAAGGCAGTT